TTGAGAGAAACTGAAACGAACAGCTGAAGTTGTGCAACACATTTAAAAATAAAATGCAAGTCATGTTGGACAGGTACAGTGTAATACTGTTGTTTAGCCAGTGATGTACATCAGAACCACAGACAGAGATTTGTCAGCTGGATCACAAGCACCTTGCTGCTGCTCTCCTAAACACCACCCCATGCGTGGTGCTGTCTATCTAGCACAGTAACATTTTGACATGAATTTTGAGTCTGTTGTGTAATTGCAATTACATAGTGTACAACAGATCACCACCCCAAATACTGCCTACTGGTAAATCTGCACTGTGTATTGCACAAACAGAGCTAATGGAAATGCAAACAAGTCACAGTATAAAGACCTGTGACGGGAAACAACAAGGTGTTCTCATTTTGAGAAATTCAGATGGCTACATATAGATTCTTTAAAAATTAGTTGGGACACAATTCACAAATGTGGCATTAACTGACTTGGGTCTAGTCTACATCACCAGCCGACAGTTTCCCACTGCACGGTACATTGAAAGGATGGCTACAGGGTGACTGGGTTGGTTGCACATGGGCCGTTTTGCATCCCCTCATGATGTAAGCTCATTTATAGGTTTCACATCTGTTTAGCACGTAGTTTATGATTACTAATATGTCACTCTAAAACAGTAGCTTTATAACTACATTATAAAGTGCCCGTTAACAAAGCTGTGGGACATTTTGTGAAACACATTCATTAACATTCTTTCCAAGAGTTACTGTAGCTGTGAAGCTTGGCACAATTCTCATGTCTGCGCATTAGAGCTTGCTAGCTTGCTCAGCCACCTGAAGAACTACCAGCACACCTAAAGCTCATCAATTGACATGTTCCATCCCATTTGTTTAAGCTGTATGCAAGCATAAATGTAAAAATGATAATTAATCATTTTAGGAAGCAATTCCTTGGTCATTTTGGCCAGGCTTACATAAACAAGGTACCATAGGTTAATTTATGACTGCAGATTTAATGTAATTGTGAACATTTGGCTGAGCCAGGTTAGCCAAGCCTGCCTCCGGTATTTATGCTAAGCTAAGATAAGCTAAGCTAATCACCTTCTGGTTTCATCTTAATACTTATAACACAAACAAGACAATGGTGCTGATGTTCTGTCCAACTACTGATGTGTATTTTCCAACATGTCCAGCCATTCCTGTAAGTACAGTATACTGTACTGCACAGTAAATAAACACAAATAATGAGTTGTTTGCAGAGCCCATTTGCCAAAGTAGTGTTAAGCTGTATTCTTTTGAAATCAAAAATATGACTTGTCCCACAACATTAGTTGACTTTACAAAAAATAACTTGAATAATACTTATTTAATTAATAGACATAAATGAAGAAACATGATGTAACATGTTCACATAAATTTTTTAGAACTGATCTGTGTGATGAAGAGAGCGCATTCATTTCTCCCTTCAGTGACCTCAACAAATGATCAACTATCAGATGAATAGAGACTAATCTCCTTCAGATGCTTGTTTCAAACACTGTTTCTGACTCTGGCAGTACAGCGGACGACAATCAAACCCAAGGAAAAAGCAGCTTGCTGATAAATTGCAGGAATTTGAAATGAAAAACCTCCCATTATCCTTATAAACAGAACTAGTTCATTTACTGTATGAGGCAGTTTTGGCAATTTTCTAAGAAATCAAAGTGTATCTGTGGTTTTGTGAAATGCAAACAAACATTAGAGACACTCTTCACTACTGGAAAGATTGTTACCGGCTTATTACCATCTGTTGTCAAGAAATGAATCTCTGTTCTCACAACTGCAGCAACACAGTGTCACTACTGTCTTTGATAATGTAACAGGAGCCAATGGGATATTTACTAAGATGTCAGCAGAGGCAGTCTGTTTACAAAATGTTTTGAACTATACTGACTTATTGACGCTGCATATAAATAAACCATTGCATGAATTCAACATTTTACCATAGCTGTCATGTGACATGTAGCACACTAGGATGAAACTGATGCTTCCCATGATGTCATCGATGCAATGTTTTGACATTTTACACAATATCGTTCTATAATTATGTGTATATAATTATGTGCACATAATCAAAATGAGGCCCATAATGTGAATTTAGAAACAACCATATAGTAACGTCACCGTTTCACCATAAAACAAAACAACAATGAACATCATTGAACTGGACAGAGTAACACAGTGGATCAGCCATTGACTTGTAACAACTGAGGTCTAACAGTTTGTGGGTTTTCTTTGTTGGCTGCTGTGCATTGGCTTATTGATACTGTACACTCCTAATTGAATTCAAGACCTCAAAAACTAAGTGGAGTTTGGAAAATGTTCACTAGTAAACACTGTCAGGCTTTCAGATGAAGAACCATGAGTCCATTTTCAAGGAATAGTTGGACATATCTGGAAATATGTGTATCTATTTTCCTGTTGAGAGTTACCACTCTCATGTCTATACAATAAATATGAAGCTACAGCCAGCAGCCGATTAGCACAGAACTGGAAACAGCTAGCATGACTCTGTACAAAATCCACCTACTGTACCAGCAAATCTAAAGCTCCCCATTAAACACACTTTATACTTAGTGTATATTCAAAAAACTATTAAACCATTAAAGGTGCATTAACTAAGATTTTACACATAATCTGATAAATCAAGTGAAAATGGGACAAGACCAGGTGTCTTTGCTATACTACTCCCTCCATGACAATCCGCTGCCTACAGCCTTTCTGTTGTCATTCCAGCTCCTCTGCTCTGTGTTGTCAAAATACAGTCTGCAAATTAGCCTCACCTGCCATGTAGTGAAAGTTATATAAGGTGCGTTTTTGAACTGTGAGTTGTCATTTCAAACAGCCAGCCATGGAGGAGCTCCCAGCAGCTAACAGTCAGAAACAGTGGGTGCCAGGCCGAAGAGGCTTTATTCTTTTTCACAGAGAAGGAGCAAAAACCAGGGTTAACATCATTTTGGTTGTTTGAGTTGGAGAGTGTTAAAAGCAGCCATGTTTGATTCAGATGTGGTGTTCTTTCTTCTGGATTTGTTAGCATCTAAAGCTAATGTGTTTGTTCTGGTAACCTTGGCAAACCAGAACAAACGCGCATGGTCATAATTTTACCTTTGTATTGAAGTATTAGAATTTCAATTCGGGAGTAATTTGTAACATTAGTGCTTTGTGTCACATTAGCAGTAACCAGATAGCTCTACTGGATTGTCAGAATTACTTGTTAGCCAGCTACACTACAGTAGCTTCAGACTGGAGACTGCATTTTGTAAAGTTTGTTAGGCCCGAGCATCCATGGTTTATGTTGTCACTATGAAACAGGATGTGATGGGATGGGCAAAGAGTGGAGAAGAACAGCTTATGATGTCAGCTTGTTTTGAGTTTCACTAGAAAAAAAAGGTAGTACAACTATAACACATATAATGCTGCAAATAATTACAAGAAATGTATTAAGTCTAATAAAAATGTATTGCCATATATAATTTTTAATTTTTATTTATCATGGCCCTTAGGCTGCTTTCATGTGTTATTTTGTGCATGTATGAAACCAGAAACAGGCCTGCATTAAAATAGGATAAGCTTGTGTGTGTGTGTGTGTGTAATACAGTATATAGTATCGGAGGCATCATTCACTTGGCTTTTGTATGTATTCAACAAACAAGGGTAAAGTGATAGGTCAAAAAACTAAAAATCTTTATTTTTTTTTCAAAATGGGAATGATTTGTGATTTTAGAATATCATTAAAACATCATATTTCAGGACTTACAGCTGGACTGTCAGTGCTTGATGCTTCAGCCATTGTTTGCTACCCACCAGCAGGCAGGGACCGACTCAGCAAAGTAGAATTCACACACGATTTTGTTGATTTATTGCCTAAAAATGGCCTTTTTGTGTAGGTTGTAATAATAATATGTCACCCAGCTCTAAATCAAATTTAATATAATGTGTTAGTTGGCTAACATTAGATGCGCTGATTGATTTTGTTCCCTTCAGACAGAGCCAGGCCGCAGTTTCCCAGTGTTTCTGGTCTTTTATGCTAAGCTAAGCTAACTAGCTGCTGGCTCTAACAAATTTGAGAGTGGTATAAATCTTCTCATCATGCTTTTGTCAAGAAAGCAAAGTGCTAAGTTTTTCCTGTGATGTTTAAGAATTGACTTGATGCTGTTGAATGCTGTTACCTGCTTCAGACTGTTAGCTTCAGTGTTATGCATTTAAAGCAGCTCTGTATTTCCATCAGGTGATGGAGAACATTCACAATGTAAATGACTAAGCGACAACAAACACACTGACTTTTTTTTTCCAAAATGGACACAAGTAGTTCTTGGTCTGAAGCTATCATTTATTGCATGCGATGGTTTAAAATTTTCAGGCATTTCAGACAAACCCATACTCGCTCAACTCATCAAGAAAAAAAAACAACAACCCAGCAACCAATGCAAATTTGACACATTAAAACACATTTTTCTTAAAGCCAAAATCTGGTGTCGTCATAAACGCCAGTAAAAAGCTTATGGAAACATTTGATTTTACGAAAAACAACCTCATATTTATACCAATATGGTATGGAAAATCATTTAGATTCATTCTTTGTTCTTAAATAAATAGAGCAATTCCCACTGGACACAAATAGAGGCACTTGTGTTTCTTTTTTTGTCAAAGTGAAAATTAACTTTTCACATCCGCATTGTCTTCCATACACATTCAGCGATGGTCAAATGATCCGAAACTTTAAAACTCACGCTTGATGTGCTAGATTTACAGACACCATGAAAAAAACAAAAAACAAAAGGGCGGCATGGTGGTGTCGCCTCACAGGAACATGGGTCTACAAAGAGTTTGCATGTTCTCTCTGTGCCTGCGTGGGTTCTACTCCGGCTTCCTCCCACAGTCCAAAGACATGGAGGTCAAGATGACTGGTGATTCTAAATTTCCTGTATGTGTGAGTGTGAGTGTGAGTGGATGTCTGTCTCTACATGTCAGCCCTGTGATAGACTGGCGACCTGTCCAGGGTGAACCCCGCCTCTCACCCAGTGTCAGCTGGGATAGGCTCCAGCCCCTTCATAAGTAGTACAGGAGATGGATGGACAAAATTTAAAATCAGATTATGTTTGGTGCTGTGTAAATGCAGCTATGGTCTGTGCATGGATACACACACACACTTATATACACACTTTATTAGGTACATCAAGCTAAAACTAGTGCAGTCTAATACAACAGTTCTGCAATAAATCCTCTGTCATGAGTGTGGCAATGTTCAGGATCTGTTTCAGAGGGATGTTGATTCAACTGTGTGATCACTGTAGAGGATGAACTGTACAATGTCATACTGACAGGTGTTCCTGTTATTTTGTCCACCCCATTTATATCAATAAACAAAATCAGCTCTGTGTAGACACACGCATCTGCAGCAGATTGAACAGAAACTGAACATGCTCACTTTATTGGAAGGAGAATTTTCTACAGGACTGTTGGATTAGACTGCATTAGTTTTTACTTGGTGTACCTAATAAACTGGCTGTATACTGTATAAATCCCCTATTTTCTTGTTTCACATCCTCATTCATTCACATTCAGTCTTTCACAAGACACTATAAAACAAAAACAAACACTGTTTTCGGGAGTCACAGTCTGTACATTATGGTACACAAATATCATAATATTGTCCAGTCAGGTAATGATTTAAACAGACTTGACAATCAGCTGTACACGTACACGTACTAACAACACAACACGACACATTGGGAAATGACTACAGGATATCCAGCAGATGATTTGATCTCATTAAGTGATGCACAAAGTTGCAGAGGTTTTGACTTCAGGGCGGAAAAGCCAGCATGAGCTCTTCACCCTGTTTACTTGATCTGCACGTGGGTGGGGGCATATTTAGAGCCAAAACATACTGAATCTTGTAGTTTTTTCCCCCTTGTAAGTGTTCAACACCTTAGTGGGTGGGTTACTATGGGAACTAGAACTGAGTGGAATTTCACAAAAGCCCTTAACCAGTAAGAGAAGAACGAGACAAACGCTTGACTTGATGGCCCTCATTTGCAGGACCAGTGAACTGAGTGCTGCTGAGCTGTTAACTCCCTGGACTGCGACTTGACCAGGTCTTGTAACCCTCACTCTAGCTAGAGACATCTTAACGATCTTATCTTGAATCAAATGCACTGACAGGCTCTTAGATATTAAACAAACCACTGATGCAGGTCATATACAGCTTGGATTGCTCAATAGCAAGTGGATAAAGCAAAGAAATCGTACTCAAAGATGCGGTTAAAGCTTTAAAAATGTTAGTGTCACTGCCCTAAACTGGAGGCATCTACATTCATCATTTAGAGAGAGCACTGGGTATCAAGCCTCAATATGTTTCATGCTAAAATGTGTCTGTACTGAAAACTTGTCAAGTTTCATTCCAGTGTCACATGGGCCCAGATTTATGTGCAGTGTGCACATGCACCCGTTTTGTCTTCCAGATTTTTTCCACTACTTACACAAGTTGTTACCTGTGGATCCCTCACGTGTATGAATCTATCACAATGATGGACTCTGCCAATGACAAAGCGTCATATATAGAAAGGCTAACTAATGAGTATAAATACATTTAATGCCAAACACTAAGTTTGAGATTATCAAAATCTTAAAGATTATAACTTTAAAAATTTTAGATATGACTGACTTGTCAACCACAGAAGGCGACTTTTCAGAAATGATGCTGTTAAACTACCAAAGTGATGCATAATACTGGCTGCAGATTTTGTTTTGGAGGATCTGTCCCTAAAGACCAAAGATGGACTGAAAGAGAAGCTTGTGCCTCCATTAATTGGGCTTTAGTAGTCGAAGCTGAGCCTCTTTACCAGCATGGCCCTTATCTGTTGGATTGGACCGGTACTTTTCCACTTGGATCAATATCAGCCAGAGGCTTTAATTCTAGTCCCAATCAAAGACACGTTTCTAGGCCACTGCTGGAGGAGATGAGCCTCTGCTGAGCTGCCTTCTTACCTTCAGCCTCCTTAATCACATTAGCCTCTCGCACATCTTTTTGAAAATGATCCTGTCTAGTTTAAACACTTTTTACCTTTCCTCTCTGGTGCTTATTTCTATTTAGGAACGCAGAGAAGTTTGTACCATCTCTGGTCCCTCCAGGAATTGAAACTACTCAATCCAAAAAGCAGCATCAGCCAAATTTTTTAATTTGCTAATTTGTAATTTGTGATTTGCAGCTGAAATTCCCAAACGTAGTCACTGTTCAGTCCTAATTGCAGGTGAATTTCAGCCCAATTAATCCACCCAGTCTACGCCATTACATTACAGTGGTTGGTGCTGGGTCATGTGAATGATCTCAGTGGGAACAGAAGCATCGTCCTGAGTCTCATCTCACTTGTTATCCCAGTTCTAGCTCCCAGGCCCGTTTCTTTTTAGTTTAAATTTGGCTCTGGTCCAGTCTTTACAGCAGGTGCGCCTCTATGCGGAGCCAGTGCAGTCCCTGCCTGATGTATCGGACCAGCTCAGTCATGCTGCTCTGCTGACTCAATGGCTCCATCACTGAGTCCAGCTCCTGGAAGAACTCTACAGGAGGGTGAGGGAGACACAGAGTTACTGAGGTGTGCTCTATCTGCTGCTGCTTGTGCTGAAATGACACACACAGCTACAGTGTAGGTGTTTTTTCTGATAGTGGTGTGGGCATCAAGAGGCAAAGGCAGGTGAGTCATTCACAGCATAGGTTTGACTGTTCCAGAGGAAGAATAAGCAATTCAGGATAACCAGTGTCACTCTGGAGGAAATAGCACAAACTGCTGAAACTCAATCTTTGGTGAGTGTAGTGCAAAAACTAGAGCTGCCCCCTAAAAGTCGACTAGTTGAATCAACAGTTGACTGAGACTCTTCTAGTCGAACACTTGTTTTTTATTTTTATTGTCGGCCAGTGTGAAGTACAAAAGCAGGTAACCCCAGCCCTGTAGTGTATTTTGTCATCTTGCTCTCCTCATTTGTGACACTGTGAATCTGGCTGCTCACGACACTTTTTAGCAAACTGCTGCCTCAAACCAGGAGAAAAAGACAACAAAATCCACTAGGACAAGACACAAAAGGTGAGATTCGTACTTTATTAGAAGTGTTTTCAATCGTTGTGATCTACTTTTACAAGAGAAAAGACTGTAACGGTTGCGACAATGAGGCTAGTTTTGCACATGTGCATCCAGGTTGTTTACCCAGAAGCATGTTCACATCACTCTTTTGCATTTGAATACTGATGTTATTATGGTTGAAATCATCACTGAAATTTATGGCAGTTGATTTTCTGGTATATATACACACACATATGCACAGTATACTGTGTATGTATGTATATATATGAACAAAAAGAATGAAAAATTGAATATTTGCTCCGAACAGTAGAATCCAAGTCAACTGGCAAAATTCTTAGTTGGGTACAGCCCTAGCAAAAACACCACAGCAACAAAGATGTCTCACTAACGAACCCAGGATTTTAGAAATCTGAAGCTGTGGACTGATTCTGTACCTGTATACAGTCAAACAACATCTTACCTTGGCTCTCTGTGGCCAGTCTGTCAGCCGTCTCCCAGTGTTCATAGCTCCGCAGGATGTTGTTGGTGATGTTAACATGGCTGGCAGCCATGTGATGAATCCGCTGGGGAATAGCCACGCTGCCCGATGACCCTGGTGCTCCTCCTCCTCCTCCTCCTCCTCCGCTGCTGGCTGGGGAGGGGCTGAATGAGAGGGGAGATGGAGTCCCATTGACCCTAGAACATATAGAAACAGTACAGAAACGGTTAGTCTCAGTAACTCCATGGGAATTAAAGAGTTAGGTTCTGTACGCTGGAGGGGTTTTGGAGATAATATACTTGAAGGAAAGTGTGCACTAAAGTGTATCAGTGCTAAACTGTTGCATATTTTCCAAACAGACTTAAAGGTATCAAAGATGTGCCTGCTGAATACTGAATAGTTTTCTATTTATAAAGATGACTTATAAAGTGATATTGATACTTTTACTTAAGTAAACAATCGGAATACTTCTTCCACCACTGATTTTAGAAGGAGGAGCTCCACGGGACACTCAGCTGCTCAGGGTGTGCAAAAAACATGTCATCAATACTGGTTGGCAGGGAAAATCAGATTATTAGACTGAGTGAAGTTTCTCATTTTAATAGAAACCAGTGATTACTATTACAGTCATTTCATATAGTTCTATACTTACTGTAAAAATGTTAAGACTGGAAAAACTTTTGCAGGTTCTGGGCTTTATACTGCCTTTTACAGACCCGATGTGTTGGGTGACCACAGTCAGCCAGCTTCAGAGAACAGCAAGGAAAACCATTCTATTAACAGCACATAAAAAAACTATGTGTGTAAGTGATAAGAGGCTGAATGTATCCTCTTCATTAAAGTATTTATCATTTATGATTTAATACAGTTGTTATGGCAAACATCCACAAATCCAGCAGACAGAGCAACATTATTGTTCTTTTGGAGTCATGTTTATGGCCGTCTGATGAATTAAAGTTCAATATTCATGCTCCTTGTACTGCTTCTTTTCATGTTTTGACAGCTAGCTGCTAACTTTGTCTGCTGTTTGGTGCTGTGTAGGTTGCAAACAGTGAGTTTATCTGAACTTTTTAGTTGACAGCAGCTCCCTGCTGCTACTGGAAACAATGTTGATGAGATCGTTGGGCATCGACCAGAACACTAGAGTCATGGGCCTTAACAAGTTGAAAGATGCTGTAACACTCTTTAGAGATGAGGTGACCTGCAGAATGAAGTCTGAGTTTGACACTATGAGTGAGAATTTTCACATTTCCTACATTTCTTTAATATAGTATATTTATAAGACAAATGTACTGATTAATGCAGCTTTAACTTAGTGAAATGTTTGTGCTATAAAAACACCACAGGGTCATGAGACAGATGCTACCAATTCCCTCCATCCTTAAATGGTAAAATCTGTGCATCATAACTTAATTAACAGTATGTTTATGCTGATAATGCTGCACATTAATTATGCTAGAAATTAGACATTATAGCGGATGTCTGTTTTGGCTTTGACTTTTCAAGGAATCACTGTATAATTAATACAACAAAAGGCTTGAAAAAGACAAATGTCAGAGGGTGTGTAACATTTCTGATATTCACGGTACGGTCATTAGTCAAACGGTTCCTCTTGCTGTGCACAGCTGGGTGGGTGGCTCTGGTAGTAATGTAACCTGTGATGTGGCCTTGACCCTCGCTGACCCAACAACTTCTGTGCTGCACACACACACACACACACACACACACACACCATCCTGCTGTTGTGCAGCATCAGAGCTGTCCAAACTCATTAGCTTCACATCCACACAGCTCCTCTGCCACTCTCCTCCTCCATCTATCATCTCTCCCTCCATCACTCCTTCTCACATGGCACTTGGCAGCCCCTCCAGTATTCTCCTCCTCACATCTACAACAAATCAACCCCTTTATTTGCTTCCTGAGGGGTTTGTTTAAGCAAGTGGCTGTCAGGGGCGGCATAGTATTTTACAGCGGAGCTCCTGTGAATTATAAATTCTCAATTATCTAGGTGAATTGAGAGGAGGATACGCTGTGTCTCTGTGTGTGTGTATGTATGTATACTCACTTCCCGTTGGTCCTCCAGGGGGAAGGTGCTTGGTGGGAGCTCTTGGCTGAATTCTGGGTCATACAAAAATGTACTTATTAAAACTAGTTTTTATAGAATACAATATGTGCTTTATTAGGAAGAAACAATCAGAGAATGAAGAAAGATAAGTGATGGTATGAAGTCATATTTAACAGATTTTAGTCAAATATGAAGCTACAATTCAGAGGTGGTTAATTTAGCTAGCATAATATAGATTAATGCTGCTCTCTATTAAATATGAAACTACAGCTAGCAGGCCATTGCCATAGCCTAGCATACCTGAAAGTAGGGAGAACCAGCTAACCTGGCTCTGTCCACAGGTGAAATGCATACCTACTAGCACCTCTAAACCTTAATAATTAACAAGTTACATCTTAAAGTTACAGCTTAAAACAGTGACAAGTTGTCCCTGTGAAGCTAGTTTTCAGTTTATATTCAAGGCTATGCTAATGGCCTACTGTAAATATGAAGCTGTATCTTCTTATTTAATGCCCACTTAAAGAGGGTGGCATCAAACTGTCATCAATAATAAATAATAAAGCATATTTCACAAAGTGTCAAACTTTTTCTTGGGTTATTTCCTGGTTTAGCGCACATTCATAAATAAACACAGCTGTAAATGAGATAGAGATAGCAAATAGGGTATTACTGTATGTCTTGTTTCTGATCCAAAACAAGGTATTTACTAAGAGTTCAAATGAGGCATGAAAGCTCACATAAATAAATATAGTGAATAAGATTTTAGATTAAACCTTTTCATTTAATCAGTAACATCACAAACCATTTTAGACTAAAGCAGCTAAATGGTTAAGGTATTAATGGTAATATGGCGTGAAGCTGAGCCACCAAGTTGCCCCATATGTGTAACTTCTGAACAATGTAATTGTTATTCATTGGCAAGTATTTAAAATCCACTTTATTGCGCCATATGGACAAATATATTATACAATTGGTTAGACTGTTTTTGTGCCATTTTCCTTTTCAAAATGAACTGCTCTAACTGATTTCATTTAATTCTTTTCTTTCTGTCAACACTTACTGTATGTACACAGTCTATGCACACATACACAGCTAAAGCCCCAGCCAGTCACTTCCCACAAATCCAATCCCATCAATGCAAATGTGGCACTGTGATAATGACATCCTCTGTAATTAATTAAACTAAACATAATTAATCAAAACAAGCACATTAAACCCTAACAATCCACTGTGATGATTGATGGAACCAATTAATAAATTAATATCAAAAAGAATTAATGCTTTTTATTAATGTCATACAAAATTTATGCACAGGCACCATGAAAATGAATATAAAATGTATTTGAGGGATTGTAATGGGCTTTGCATGTTTTTCAGCCATAGAGGTAGAAAATGAGAGATGAAGGAAATAAAGTCCATGCCCGTGTGTGTGTGTGTGTGTGTTACCTTGAAGTACTCCATGAGCGACCGTGAGTACTTGACAGCATGGTCTTTCTTTAGATGAAACATCCTCAGATACAGCAGAGATAGACAGCGGTTACTATGGAAACAAAACCATTAGAAGGCAGATGAATCCTCAGTACAAATTCCCTTTACAACTCCATTCTTAGTATTATTTTCATGTCATCCACACAAAATGCAGCTGACTTCAAACATGACCTATAAGTCTGCATGGTTTAGGAAAAAGCTGAATGAAGTTAAGAATGTGGGAAATGTCTGATATTATTATATAAAAACACAAAAACCCACAGCTTTGCTTCTGAATGGTAAATCCATTAATTCACGGGATACATACTGTACTGTAAAATGTTTTGGATCTCTATAAGTAAATAAAAAAGGACAAAGGTTTTAGGGTATTAGCAAACAAAGGGGAGCATGATCACCAATTTTCCTTTATTAAGAATTTTCTTTTAGGTACAAATGAAATTTACAGGACTTTCATACATGTTATTATGGTACCCCCTTTAATAATGCTAATGCTAAAAATGACACACAGCTTTTCACAATCAGGAGGCAGTAATCTGTCTCAAACTGGAAGTTTCTGACAACATTGTGCAGTTACAAGGCTTTTCGAACTCTGACTAGGAACACTCTTAAAAACAAACCTCTCACAAGAGTAAGACACATTTAGTAAAAGTATATGTAAATGTTGTTGTATGAGGCCTTATACATTAAAATGTGATTAATTTTGGCCAAGAGTATGTAAAGGTCAGAATTTAGTTTGCAATGTAGAGAAGGTAGCACTTAAACCATCATGTACTGGGAATCAAAGTTTACAGTTTACAGCAAGCACACAGTCAGCATAGTAAACCCCCAGGCCACAAGGCCAGTCAACCAAAAAAATATTTTAGTTAACTGAATAATTAAACATAAAAAAATCAAAACAGCAAGAACATTTTTGGAGACCATTTTAAGTGTCTGGTCCAAATATTCTGAAGGGGCTAAGAAATGTTTTGAGGATCTCATGGTCAGAATATTTCTAAAACCCTGCACCTACTGCTTTTAGTACACATGCACACACACACACATCCACAAAGAAAGAATCATACCACAACACAGCGAGTTTCTTTTCAGCGACGGTGGCTGAATGGCTGGTGAAGTTCTTCAACCTCATGGCATACCTGCAGCAGAGGAAAGATGAAAGCTTGTCACCTGTCAGTTGACATTTCCAGTGGTTTTGTGGTTGAAATGTAAGCACACCTCATTTTTTCACACAAGATTCATTTTAATTAGAAAACCAAGGTTAAAACCTTAATGGAGCTGCTATTTTTGAACATAGAGTATAAAATGGTGACAAGCACTTAGTGATTATTCCCTCAGCTCTCTAACAGCCAGCATCAACCCTGCTGAAGTGCCCTCAGGCAAGACAAGCTTCAGGTTATCTTCATATTACCCTGTGGAAGGGCATGTTTTCCTTTCAAAAATGCTGTGGGGGCTAGCTGTGGCCGTCTACCCCCACTAACCAAGACAAACTGCGGTCTGATTGCTAAGTGAGTGTTTAATCAGTAAACATGAAATTCAGCAGTGACACAATGTCATTAAAACACACTGTCACTTCATTACATTGTAATTTTATATGATTGGTTGAAATTATTTTTTGTCTTGTCCATAATTTATTGCCTTGTTTTTAACTTACTCTATGATCTGTTTTGAGATGACACCTTGTTTAAGTATGTGCACTTGATGCTACACCGTGGGCCTAATGGAACGACATTTCAGTCCACTGTATGTCTGTGCATATTGTGGAATGACAATAAAGCTTTTTGAATATTGGCAGGTGAATCATGGGAGAGGAGTTGAACCTCTTTATTCATCTCTGTACAAAAATTATCCTCCCTTATGGAGGTCAGAGGTCAGAGTCACAGATCAACGGCCTGCACGTGGTCACGACTCAGTGTCTTGCTCAAGGACACTGCAGCAGGACGGAGCGCAGACAAGCAGAGCTTGAACCTGAGTCCTTCAGTCAAACGACTCTCTCTTTACACCACCCTGCTGCCAGCCTGTCTGCTCTCAGGGGTGGCAGTCATTTGTTATTCTCAGTTTCCTCTCTTAGTTGCACTTAGAAACCTCACACACTCACGGCTCTGGAAAGCTAGAAAACAGCAGAGATCCTGTAGTGCAACACTAGTTTAACTACGCTCATTAGCAACCCCGTAGGTCTATGAGGGCTTTAGATAAAAAAGGCAAAAACTGCACTGTTGAGTGCAGTCTTTTTTGAATAGATCTCTGGATGCTAATCGGGGGTTTTGTGTTTATTCATAAACTCAAATTTTGATTGAGAGGTGAACGTATGCAGCAATTAAGCTAATGGGCTAAATCCACATCAAGTCAGTAAGGTTGGACTGATTACATATGAACCCTGGGGAATGTTTCCTGAAAGGTTTGGTAGTAATTGTAGGTAAATAGAAAGTTCAAAAGTACCAAACATTTAGGTTTTAGGAAAGAATGAGAGAATTACAGTGTAAAATATCAGCATAGTGTAGTTGAGTAGAAAATTTTCCTTGACTAAATGTTTAGATTAAAAATGTCAGAGGTACATTTAATGCTCATCATGTAATTTGTTCCTTTGAAAAAAGTGGGTTATGCTATTCGAGGATGCAGGAAGTGGAGGTGCTCAGTTTGCTTCAGCACCCACATCAAGCCTGATCAAATCAGCAGTTCATAAAAGGAAAGTATAAAAAGTTGCTTGTTTGCAGGCATTTGTTTATTCATTTTTGTTTAATCTAAATGTGTATCATATTAATATGTTACTATTTTTCTTAATTAAAGGATAAGGCCGGTCAGTTTCTATATTAGCAGTATTTTCAGCACTCATACAAAGACTAAAAACAACAATGAATTACCTCTACTCACTGTTAAAGTCTGTCACTCCTGGATTAACCTGTTAGTCTGTGCCATAGACCTCAGTTGTTGTTCAAAAATTATTGAAATAACCTCAACGAAACACACCACGGCACTGGCAGACGTTTCCTCATTATGAAACACAAGTAATTGACAACATGGTGGAGCTTTTCTGTCAAGACCACACATACGTCTGGAGGTGTTTCAGAGGAGATTTCATTTGTCTTTGCATCAATACAATCAAAAAGAAAATGTGTCAGGTTTCACCAGCTTGTGTTCAAACCCTGGTCAAGCTGTCAACCACAGCACAGACAACTTGGAGCACGGATGCAGTAAAATCACACTTGGGTAAAACAATGTACTGTTAAAAGCTGTAAGATCATACAGAGACCGTCGCTCACCACCACACACTCTGATGGCTTTCTCATCCCATATATTAGAATGAATTTAAAGTGTAGGAATTCAGCACTGTCTTCATTTTTCTTGTAATTGGTACCAAATCGAGGTTTGAAGGGACCATCCCATGAAATATTATTAGTCCAAATTTTATTATTAGTAATATTAGTGATTATGAATTATTAATTTCAAGTTACAAAATCATTACAAAACTAGAGATTATTCAAATAAAGTCCTGTCTTTCATTTCACTTCATCTCTTTTGTTTCTGTCCCTACCTGATGAGCTCCACAGTTTCAGAGTACATGGTATAAGGTGACTTGGCCTCCAGTGGATCCCGCTCCATGGCATTTCCACACTCTATGAAGGAGAGGGCGCCGTCTGCGTAGTTCACTGCTTTACCAAATTTGTCCATCTACAAGTAGAAAAAGACAGAAGATGACAATGAGCAACAGAGAAAAATGAGAAAACTGAAAAATGTAACAGGATAGACAGAGACAGAGCAAAGACATGAGTAAGACAATAAGACAAACGATGTCTTTCATTGTTTGGGGAAGACCAGATAATTCTTTTGATACTGTATAATCTTGCAGACATCATCAGTTCTTGGATTCAGTGTTCCTTTGGAGACAAATGGTGCAATAAATAACACAAATTATACAGTACAGTCCTTGATATGAAATAGATTTTCGCTCTTCTGAGACTCACTGTGCACACACGAGTGATGACACACGCATCTGAACAAGTACACACATAATTAGAGTCTAGACTGTTGATGTTAACATTGTGTTCTCAAATCATTTTATTTCTATCTGTGTGTATCCAACCATCTCTTTGTCTCCTGTAAGATGTGCTTGAGCATGCAGGTATGTGTGTGTGTGTGTGTGTGTGTGTGCTCTGTGTCTGACAGTGACTGCAGAGATAGCTGAGCAACACAACATCTTACCAGAGCATCAGCCTTGTGCTTCAGTCTCTTGGCCTCCTGCATGTAGTAGTCTGCACTGTGGACCCTGGAAACAGCACAGTGGAAAAAACAGAACAGAAAGAGCATGTTTGCACTGACATGCCATTTAACAAAATCTCATAATAAAAAACTCAGCATGTTAGTGATTTACATAATCACTGAACACAAGTAGCTTGTGCTGAATGATATACAGTAGCCTACTTAGGCATACACACCTCAGGCTTAGTGTAACATTAGTATAACAACAAACCATGTCTCATGAATAATGCAGGAACCCTTAGGGACAAATACAAGATGTATCATCTTCCCAGGGTTTCAACACAACTGAACCCGTGGTGAGGTAGTATCCATCACCCACAGCACACTAATAGGCCACCACAGAAGAAGACAAGATACAAGCATCAGAATGGATCAGTAGTCTCCACCGGTCCATTGGTTCACAGGATCCGAGGCCACAAGTTGGGCTGCGTCCAAATTATTTTCAGTTTAATCAAGTTGGACAGGATCCACAAGTAGCCACGAGTCTCAGGTCTGTGTCAATACATCTAAAACCCCAGTGGATCTGAATGAACTCCACCAGCTCTGATTATGTAGTGTAGCAACTTCACAACAGGAGAAACCTGTCATATTAGATTACATTCATTTCAGATAGTTTTGTCTAAAGTGATGCACTCTAGGTGCATTCAGCTTCTGTAGGAACAAGAGCTATATATTTGATCAAAAACATGGAAATTATGCCTTTTCAAACAAGCAACTAAAGCATACTTCATTACGAGAGTGTTTTCTCAGTAAGGGCTACAGGTTGCACGCTGTGTCAAAGTCTTGACTGACAAGGTGGGTTTCTTGCTCTGATCAGCTCCAGTGAGCAGAGGACCCTTGGTGATGGTCCAGAAGCAGAGGAGCAGTGAAGGGTCTGACCATGGCTTGGCGATTTAAAGGAGCAGTTCCCTTCACTGCCCTGAAGGCTACCACCAGAACTGGAGCCACTGGAGAAGAATACTGGTCTGGAAGAAACTGGGAAGTCTGAAGACATGCAGACACGCAGCAGCATTCCGGTTGCAGAAACCAGACAAGTCTGACTTGTAAAAGTCAGGAAAAAGAACATTTTTCTATTGTTTTTAAATGTAGTTTCTCATTAACTGATATTAGTGTTAGTGTTCTCTATCAGTGGCTGCTGGAGTCAACCACATTTTGAATCAGGTGCCATCTTGACTTTACTTTGCAGGTCAGCTATGCTTTTTACTTTCTTTATCAAATTTGAGTTCAAAACTTTGGGAACCTCTAGAATACATGACTCCAAACACAAGATAGTGGTGGCATCACCTCATACCAGCAGCTGTCGCGCTTTTCACTCACTCTTCTAGAAAGTCTTTTCTGTGTTTACATAGAAAGAGCAGTGATTTGTGCCATTAAATAATCCATCTGTCAGTGTGGTGGGCCCAGTGTAAATACAATGTAGAAACTGAGTTTACAGTAATTATGCTAATGTTGAGTAGAGAAACTCTCTAAGAACTCCTCCCTCGCTCACAAAATGTATTTACCTGTCTCAGATGAGAGAGGACTCATAAATAATGTATTATAATCTGATGTAAATAATAAAAGCTAACTGTTGAAAAGGAAAGGGGCTATTACACAGGAATCAGGTGAGAACAAAACAACAAGACATCTATAAATCAGTTTGCTGAACAAACTCCATGAGGAGAAGGAGCGCCAACTATGAAAGCATCTCAGTCAATGTTCACCATAACTAACCTGTCAGTAGTAAAGGTTAATGACTTATCACTGTGAAAACACTCTGATAACACATTGGCGTGTATAGCCTATACAGTCTTTCAACATACGTGTCACTGAATGACAATCTCGGCCTGCGAGGTTCTGCAGGTTCCATCAGTGGCTCCGACCACACCTCCGAGTCTGACTGTCCGTTGGCATGGTAACCGTCTCCACACAGCTTCTCAGTGTGGGGCTCCATTCCCTGTAGCAGACAGTATTGAAATCCTTGATTACAATGGTAATTAGAATTACAGTGCATGGCTTCCACCAGCCTACTTAAATTGAATTGTTAACGCTCATTCACAATGATAACTTCACTCTGCCTGGTGAATTACAGCCGCAGGCTCACTGTCAGTGGTTTGAGTGAGGCTGAAACGAGGAGATGGGAAACTGGCTCAAACATCCTTTGGAAACGACTCCCTCAACCACACGACTTGAACTATGGTGTCCTTGTTCTTTATGTACAAATAGAAGGTTTTGCTTAGACATTCATATGCATATTTGTAAATCATCGTGCCAAAGTAATATGTACATTTTTGTGGTTACCAAGCTCTAAAGGGAGAAAAATTTGATTTTATAAATACTTGCATACACATTCAGCCATTTAGTGGCTGTTCTTATTTGGAGGTATGTATCTGCCCTGCTGCTTTCTTGCATCACCTCTGGTTGTACACAGAACAATGCTTTGAAACTCAGATAAGCTGCAGGCCAGGAAGCATGACTCTCATCTGTGGAGATTTGTGTACATGTATATGTTTTAAGAATGGCTCATCATTAAGACTGCATTAACTAAGATGTAGCACAAATTTGGATAAAGTAAAAAAATTGTCTATAAGTGTTTTCTCCCTGCTGTACTAAACCCCCGTCCCATTCTGCTATCTTCAGGCCTTGTGTTTATTTCTTTCCCTCTGTGGCCATTGTTGTTAAAATCCACAATGCACTTCTCCCACACCCCCGCTGATTCGAGGTTATATGACATGTTTTTCAAACCAGAATGGCTTATTTCAAAGACGGACCATAGAGGCTCCCTGTGCAGACAAAACCCAGGATGGGAGCAGACCTGTTAGACCCAAGAGGCAACGTTCTGTAGCACAGAAAGAGTGCGACAAAGAACGAGGCAAAACCAGGGTTAACATTGGTTTGGCATGTCGGAGATGGAGAGCATTAAAGCATCCAAAGGACTAAAATTTGACACAGATGTGGCTTTCTTCCTGCTAGACACGCCAATGTGTGGCATTAGCAAGCTGATGTTAGCAATTCAATTTTATACCTTTGTATTGAATTATTCTGGTTTTAATTTGGAGTCACTGTTAAAATTTGCACCATCAACACAAGAATGAGGACTTTGTTCAACTATCAAAGTGTATCTTGAAATTTATCGTTTCACATACAACTCACAGTTATGTGTGTCAAGCATGTAAGACTGAATGTGATGCGATAGTGGCGGAAACATTAGGACTGTATCAGTACTACTGGGAAAAAACATTCCTTCATATAATTTGCTTGTGTTACTGCAGATACATCAGCTACAAACAATGTTAGACGTGCATATGCATATTGCTAAAATGTAAACCTCTTTATTTGACTTTGTGTCACTGAAAACCACAGGCTCTATATTCCGTATACATTAGTTCTGGAGCCAGTTATTACTGCTGTGCTACCTGACTGCTACAACCGTCTCTGGCTGTTGTGATCTCATATGACGTAGTTTCAGAGAGAGGGAGGGGAGGAGAGGAGGGGATACTGCTGGAGTTTGTTTTGACTCTCACTTTGCCCTAAATGGTCAAACATTAGAGGGGAAAGTTAGTTAATGCAGCTTTAACTGGGCAGTTCATTTTGAACAGTGTCAGGCGAATAAGGTAATGCCACTAGTCTCCTATTAACACAATGTACCCTATATTTAACTTTGTACAAGAAAGCACCAGGCAATATGATCTAACAGGGAGACATGTAAGTTGACCAGCATTGTGTAAATACTCAAAGTATTTTATTAAGAGCAACTTATCTACACACAAAATGTTGAGGTGCAAAAGCCACCAAAAGCCACTTACACTAACATTTCTTGCATGTGACAACGCCTTGCCCTCACCCCTCCTGTGTCTGTGTGAGGAAGAAGAGGCAGAAGTAGAAGAGGTGGAGCAGGGCAGAATCCCAGCAGCGCTGCCCTCCTGGTTGAGAGAGGAACCACTGTCACAGGTCCGTTTCCGAGGGGAATCAGCAGAGAGGGGGGACAGGAGGGGAGGGAGCAGCTTCTCATCATGCCGTCGAAACTGCTTCCTGTTCAGAGAGCCACTGAACACACACACACACAATAGCACAAAGATGACAACTACTGATTTTGTGCAAAGTTGCTGACATTGAAGTTGCTGTGTTTATTCTTTATTCTGATTGGACAGTTTACATGTGTTTATTGCTCAAGTGGCATGAGAAGGTGCAGAGGCATGGTGTTTGTTCTGTTGGTACTCAGCCAGTACTGGCTGTTTTACAGGTCATACAGTACATACATTAGTTAACCTCCCTTACAGAAACAACATGATTTATTTAATAGTTTACATTTCTAAATCTGCCATGTCTTTCTTAAAAGTTTTGCTAGTTGGACCTTCTCCAAACTTTCCTAGGGGTATGGCAGGACGCAATAAACACCACTGTAAAATAACGTACAGATGTAACATTTAGTAGCTCTTTTTTAACTTGTACTGTATATATGCATGTGTGTACATTTTTGTCTTCTGGTTGGTTTTGTTCTGAATTTATATTGCCATGCACATCGGGGGCCATTGGTATGGAGTCAAATTCCTTGTTTTTCTGATAATACTTGGCAATAAAGTTTATTCTTAAAATAAACAATCACAAATATCTTGTCAACAAGAGGAAAAAATCACCACTAATGATTACTGACAAATCATCAATCGTGAGACAATGTCAGTGGACTGCAACATCTAAAACAGCCACTGATACCGAAGCCATTGTTACCTCAAAGTACTGTATCAAAATCCCACAATTATTATATAAATATACTTTAATTATCCCCAGTGTTTTTACCATAGCGCTCTGTGGTGCTGCCCTACGCCTCTCAGCAAACAGAAATACATGCGCTTTGGGGATTCTGCTGCAATCATGTTTTACATACTGTGAGAACCTGAGTTCAGTGACGAGCCAACAGTATTTGTGTTTGTGGCCAAACTGTGTCGCTCCTGAAGACATGACTTTCTGGAGCTGTTGCGACTTCATCTGCAGTGGCTGAATGATATTTTCCTTCTAAAAGCATTGCATTTCTGCCTTTCCCTGCTATTCCCGCAGCTGCCTTAGTGTAGCTCTTGTGACTCATATTGTTTGCAACACAACAGATAATATTTTTATGTTTTTCCGCAGACTGGAGACTCTGGAGGGTTGATGCAGTGAGAAAACTTGCTGAGCTCACAGAACAATGCCCCGGGTGCCGGCATTAGTGAAAATATACAAAACCAGGGAGACAAAGACTAATTAGCTGCTGTAGAGAGTGTGTACTGTACTGTATGTGTGTGTGCGCATTAGTCTCTGTGTACTGCAAGTACACTGCAGCTGATGTCTGCAAGTGTGACTATGCTAATGTGTGTGTGCATCTGTGTGTCTGTCTTTAAGGGGATGTTGGTGTGTGCAAAAAAGCATGTGAGAGCTCTGAGTTCATTTTAAGGAGATAAGTTAAGACATATACAGCCTCACAGTATATCTGCCAATTATTCACATTTACTGCGACTCAGCAGTCACTTGGCCAGGTTTCAGGATTTCTACCTTTTTTTTTTATTGATAGAGCACACATGTCTGTAAGTCTCCTTTAAGAAGAAGAAGGACAAAAAAATCAGGGACCAAGATAGAGAAATTTACATTAAATATTTTTTGGTGTCATGAGTGATTTGGGTGGGTTGTTATAATTTGGACTTCGTTTGGCACATTTTTGGTACTTTCAGTCAGAGACTTCTTCAGCTCCACTGTGAATTTCCATCACCCTCTACAGAGACTCTCCTTAGCGTCAGGATCTCTGACAATGTATTTGATTGTTCATATGGTCACTGTACATTTATTTTGTTAATATCCAAACTGTTAGTACCTAGTGATGCACCTTAATGGACAGTTCTTTAAACTTAACTGGCACTAATAGACATTACAGTGTGTCCTAGTAGGCTCTTTTCTCTTCATTCTCACTTTGTTTGTTTTATAAGCTTTTTTTTTTTTTTACTTTTTAGCCTCTTTACTGTAGCTTGTGTGTATAATTTAGCCTTGTAAAAATCTTGCATGCTGCAATTTCCCTTTGGGGATTATCTATCTATCTATCTATCTATCTATCACATGGTTTCAACCTACAAAACAATAGGCTTTCAGACTGTAAGGGGGGTGCAGAGACTTGCAGGGGAGGCTCAGATGGAAAGATATTGCATGACGTGAAAGGGACAGGCCCATGACAAAGTTATTTTAATTTGGCTGCTGATCAAGACTATCAACAGGTGGAGCAGTGGTGCACAGCTGGAAGAAATTATGAGAGACTACATTAAAATTCCTAGTGAGTGATTGTTACAATTTGTAACAAAAAGAGCCATAACTCAGTCAAATCCAAACACACACACACACACACACACACACCCATGTGTTTCCACCCACTGAATCCACTGTGTATTGTATGTGTCTGTGTGTGAGAGTGAAAAAGACATCCACACAGGGGAATCTGGCAACGCTGGTGATGGGCAGAGCAGACGGGCACACTGAGCCAGGCAGCAGCCTGCTACACAACACAAGAGCCACAGACTCTGAACTGACAACCCACATTAGGTTTCTCGCTGAAGACTCCTTATCTAACTTACAAACGTGAACACACCTCTCCTCCTGCACCTTAGCCTGTTGAGTGAGCCGCCAAACAAACAGTCACCAGGGAGAAGTGCACTGCTAACTCGGTCTGCAGGGTAATTAGATAATTAGCTGCTCAGCTGCAGCCCATTAAACAGCATGTAAACCCACCTGCAAATGTCACCTTGACCCGTTTAGATGCTGCTGAGGTCCTTTCTCCTTCAGTACCACAGCTAACACACTTTCTACCAGTGATTTGTACTGAAAGCTACACAACTTTGTTTACTTTATGTCTGTATCTCTCCTGCCAGAGCTCAGCATGACAAACATGAGAGCTGGAGAGGCTTTTAATAATAAAATAAAACAACATTAAACAAAACACTGAGATTATTTTCTAAATCTCAAGAATTAATTTATGTCATTACTAATTAATTGTTAACAAAACATAACCTCGCTGATTAAAACAGGGTAATAGTGTCTGACAAACATCACAAGGTTGATACTGCTGAATGGGTCAGAGCAGGATGTTCACAGATTCCACGAGAAGCCTCCTAAGTGATAAACAGATGTGCTGAAGGCTTCACAAACTGAGACGCCACACGCTGTCACGAGTTCAACTCCAGGTCATTCCACCTTTGCGCACCCCCTCCCATACTCTTCGGTAACACTGAGATGCTAAAAACTGGTTCCTCTCTAGCTGTCACGTTGAAGCTTATTTATAGCAACAGCTTCTTAGTCCGTTTTTAATAATTCACATGGAAAGCTGAAATTCACAGTTTGTCATTCCTGTGTCATTGTGTGAATTGAACTCGCCTCTCTAGTGAATTTATCACCACACTGAAAATTGAAAGAATGTGAACGAGGGGAAGAGGGGGGAAGGGGGCTCTGTCCTCATTTCAGTTTTCAATCACTAGGTTCTCACATTTTGTCTAGCTGTTGTCATCTTACTGTTGAAACCCCATTCTTCACATAGTGAAACAGTGAGAGAACAATACCAAGGGAGACACATTAATGCCAATGGTAAAGTCAGGTCCAGCCTCAGACACAACACAATGTTATATCAGCATTGGTGTGCCCAGTCTCTCTAAACCTGCAGCACTTTAGTTGGTAAATAACTACGTTTCCCAGAAAGCATTTCAACAAGCCTCCGATGACCCAATTTAGCCTGTTTTGTAATGTTTCGCATTCATGGTCCTTACATAAAAAGTATGTTCATAGTATCAGTTACTGTAGTTTGTGATGATTAATTTTAGTGACAGAAAATTAAAGTGTTTCAAATATCAAACAGTTGATGTGTTCAGTAAAAACACATTTTGGGTAGATACAAAACAGAAAATGTACCAGAGAAAAGTTAACTTTCCTCATGTCATTTGATATGAATGTAGACCACATTATTATATTTACAGTAATACAGTATTTTAAAATCAGGTTATCTCACATACTTAATTCAAATACTACGGATAATTCAAAATAATTTAGTTGCTATTTGTAAAATATTAGAGGAAATTATCACAGCAAATTCTGTTTTGATCTGACATTGTTAATGTTTGACACCATTATTTGATGATTTTATATTGAAATGCCACCATGATTCAAATTGAGCACATGACACAATGTTGTGATACTGTGATAAATTTGTGATCATTTATTAACACATCTGATAGAGAGGTTCATGTTGTGTGCTGCAGTACGTAACATGTTGACACCGAAATTAGAAGCCTTACACTTTGCACAATGAGGCTGTTGGCCGGTGTTGTTTATTTTTTATTTCATTATTTTTCTCGTATCCATGAAGTGTGTTGATATTTATACACTGATTGAGATGCACTGCATTCAGGACTAGATGATGCTGCTGTTGATGGACTGGTACTGAGGCCGTGTCTGTCTCCTCTGATAGATTTTCAAGAGTCTGGCTGGGTGACTGTGAGGAACTGTTGCCAGAACCCTTCAGTACAGTATTGTGTACCCTTCCTCCTGGCTTGGAGCCGCACTGTTAATACGTACTCTGTGGAGCTGTTCTTGTGGTTGTGTATTGGAGAGATGCAGGGTGGGAGGAGCTGACAGTCTTTGTCCAGTCGCAGCTTCTTATTGCTGTTGGCTGAAGATTCAACGTGGTCCAACTGCAAATATAGAAAGACAGAAAACACATGCTAGAAATGGAGAGATCAAGTATTTACAGGTAAAATGAGCAAAAACATACAAAACCCAGAATGGTTAGGGACCTAAAAGTGCAATAAATCTGAACAGACCTTGTGCTTTCGCTTGCTCTTGCTGGTGTGTTTCTCTGTTGGGATCACCATATTTGCAGCTGCTTGCCTCCTGTGTTTACCTCCGTTCTCTCCTCTCTCCGTCCTCCCGGCCAGCCTGGGATTACTCTGCTCTTGCACAGGCGGGTTGTCTAGGACCCCCAGACCTTGGCATACCTTCTCTCTCTCCTTCACCATTGTCCTCTCCCTCTCTCCAAGCCCAAATCTCTCTTTGTCCTCTCTATCCATCTGCCTGTCTCTCTCTGTTATTCTGTCACCCTGTCTCTCTCTGTCCTGCACTAATCTCTCATTTTCTTCCTCCTGCCTCTCCCCTTTTGTTAACTTCTGTCTTTCTCTCAGTCCGGGCCATTCTCTGTCTTCCTGCTTCTGTCGTTCTCTCTCTGCCATGCCTGTCCTCTCTCCCTGTCTCTCTCTGTCTCTGCCTTCACTTCCATCCCTCTCTGTCATTCCCACTCTTGACCTTTCTCCCAAACCCTGGCCAGGCACCCTGCTGAGCAAACTCAGCTCAATTTTCACCCATAAACTCTGGATTTCTTGGTACTCCCTCAAAGGGGAGAGAGGCACCTCATGTCCCAGGTTGGAAGGTGGTGACATGGACTCCAGATCCTTACACTGTCCTCCTAACCCTCCGGGATCAGGAACAGAGGTACCAAATGAACTGCTGATGTTGCTAATGCTTAGGGAGTTACAGCTGCCAGTGATGCCATTACTGCTGCCGCTGCTGCTACTATTACTACTGCTGCTTCCATTAGTGGCCACAGTGCTGCCATCTTTGACTCGAAGTCCTTTTCCTCCAAATGTCCCCAGACTCCCTGCGCTGCCAGTGGAGCCAAGGCATGGGAGAAGAGGCGCGTGTATGTTTGTGCTGGACAGTGTCTGTGTGTTAATTGCAGAGCGTGTTGCCTGAGGTGGCAGAGCAGGGATTTTGATGGTTTCCTCCGAATCCGACTGGCATTCTGAGGAGGAGGAGGAATCTGTCTCGATGAATTCGCGTGACTTGGGTGTGATTCTTGTGCTCGGGCCTCTGTGTTTCCTCTTATCCTGCTATATAGACAAAAATGACAAAAGAAAAAATAGGATAACTTTAAGCTGCTTAAATAACACTACTCATAATTATTCATGTTCACTAACCTATAAGGATTGCTGTGGAAACTTGGAAATGGCACATATAAAACACACTGCTTGTACTCACACCACACCATTTCACCTTATAACATTCTAAACTACTACCATGAGAAAAGGGTGGCTGTTTATCTTTTGCTGTATATGGAGCCTTTTTAAGCTAGTATAATTAGTAAACTAAGGTCACTTGTGATAATGCCATGCAAATTATGCAGTGCAAGTCTCCAGCTCATTTTACTAATCTGTGAAGTGAATGAAACGTGTTCTACTGTCTAATTTAGAATGTCAGTGATATTCACTGCACACAATCGAGCACTGGCTGCTTTGTCACGTGGAAGTTAAAAGAAGCCTCTTTATATTTGCAGTTATTTTGACATCTATATTAAATGTAAAAACACCGCAGATCATACAGAGTCACTGACAGGCTGTTCTCACTGATAATAGCAATGACAGTCAGATATTCAGCCTTGACTGCTGTACTGTCATTGCATTATGGTCAAGTCCATTCACCGGTAGGGTCTAGATTCAGAAAATATGGTAAAGTGAACCCTACTGACCTTTTAGTCCTACAAACTCTCTTACAAACTATTATACTGAACAAAGTTCCATCTTAGAGGTTAAGTTTAGGACTTACACTGTGGTGTATGTGAGTCAACATAAACTACAGTGCCCATGGTCATTATTTTGAAGAAACATGTCAGCCAGTACAACAGCATGGCTCTTTGTTGCAACAACAAACCCCAGCGGCACACAGGCATGAGTTACTGTTGGAGAAAAAGACAATCTTCTTGGTAGATGCAACTGCAACTCTGGCTTTGTCTTGCTTCCAAAAAGCAATGTCCCTCAGAATTACTGATTTTAGGTGTGAAATTATCAGTGATCCTTGTTTGAAAGAAAAAGAAGTGAGAAGCAGTTCTCTGTGTCAAATCAACATGAGAAAGCCACCACAGAGGCAGATGCAGCAAAGAAAACACAGCTAATGTTCCCAGACCACACCAAAACCCACTTGCTTGGCAGACACAAGGCGACAGTTTTCTCAGACTTTTGGAATCGTTCCAATGCATGTTGCCATCTGCAAAAATCCATTCTCAATAAACACCATGTTGTGTTTTGTTGAAAAAGAATGTGAAGAAGAAAAAAAACAGTCATGTGAATAATACTTATTTACACTGCTGGTAAAAGCCTTTCTTTTATTTGAGTGAAAGTCTTCAGCTCTGTTCTGCACAGCCAAAGCTGGCAGCTGATCAAACATCAATATATTGCACTTACACCTAGGGGGCAATTTAGACTCTCCACATAACCTAACCTGCATGTCTTTGGACTGTGGGAGGAATCTGAAGTACCCACACAGGCACAGGGAGAACATGCAGACTCCACACAGAAAGGCCCCGGGCATCTGCGAGGTGCGAATCCGTGACAGTGCTAACCACTGCACTGTCGTGCCACCCTAACCTCAGGACCATTATATCCATAAGCCTCTGCACTGGAGTCAAATTCTTTGCATGGTCAAACCCACTTGGTCATTAAAGATGATTCTGATTCTAATATTCAAAGTAATATTTTATCATAGTTGTTACACTGTTTTGTCTACGTACCCTTCAAGTCATACATACTGTAGTAGCTGAGCCTTATAATAGGAATACTGGAATGATCGTTTCTCTTTTATTTTGTTTTAGTGAAGCTAATAACTGAGAAAAAGCAAAGAACAAGTTGTTAAGCTGTTAGGCATTAATAAATCAATTAAAGTTACAGGGTGAATAAACATCACTGCTGTTCAAGAGGTGGCAGATGTCGGTGCTATTATTTACTCTTTCACAACACTGTAAATAAACTAAACAATTTTAAAAACATTGCAAACAGATGTTATGAAGAATTTAACTCAATGGCTTCAGTTTATTTTTTAAAAATGCATATTTCCTTCAGGATACTGGTCTTAATAATTAAATGAGCTTTTGTTTTTCAAAGTAAAATGATGTGAGAGACTTGTGTCCTAAAGATCAATTAAAAAAACACAGAATGTCCTAAAAAATAACTAAATTGTGTCTGTTACATATAGTAATGTCTAGATTTATAACATTTCTTAATATTATGGAGTAGTTTACTAACCACTGATTAGGTTTTAAATCATTCCCATGAGTTATTCCAAAACATAGACTGTATATAAAGATGGACAGCACATCACTTCCTGCAGCTATGCAAATTGTGGAGTCAAACTATCACAAATCTTGCTTTCGTGACAATCTTGCAACCAGATCAGCACAGTAGCAACGACAAATGGAGTGACGGTATCCGGCTGCCAATCAAAGCTGTCCAGTCACATCCCTCTTTATATCATCAAATAATCAAACTTATGTATAAAGAAAATGACCTCTTTTAAGTAATGACCTCTTAAAAGTAAACAGTAGTGTAGTTTTATTGTTAGGATCTTTATATAATCCTTATTTTTGTCCTTTTCTATGTCTTACATAAAGCCATTTCTTTCTTTTATTCTCCTTCAGACTACCTCATCATCATAAAACCACAGAGTGTTAACTCATTATAAGTCACAATGATGGACAATGATCCAGCTCTATTGCAGATCATCTCTCTCTCTCTCTCTCATATTTTCCATAATTCAATAAAACTCAGTCAGTGTTGAGCCATAATAGTCATGTGATAATATGGTTTTTATGTTGAAGAGTTTTTCTGACAAATCACCCAGAGACTGAATGAATCAACTTGGTGTTGAACAGTATTCCGAATGTGGATAAGTGTGGGGAAATTGAGCTACTGTGCTTGAGTCGAAATACACACAGACACACATACACGCATAGACACACACATGTGTATCCCGCACTACAAACTAACCTGGTTTACACTGACAGCAGGGATTGGCACAGGGGTTTGCTGTAGCGCTGCTGGTGGAGTAACTGTGTTGTTGTTTGAGTTGGTAGCACTGCGAGGTTCTTTCCTGGGGGCTGTTTTCCCACTGGGGGGTTTGTTTCGTGGCCTCGGTTGATTCTGATGCTCCAGGGAGGGGGGAGGCAACAGGTCCTTCTCCCTCGCTGCAGGGCTGTAGCGGGAGGAAGTGTAAGAGGAAGCGTCACGATTCAAATTAGATTGACCCTGGGGCAAGGCACTGCTACTGTTCTGCAGTTTTACACTGACAAACTGTAGAACATAATGTTTGACTTGATCATCCCCAGGGGGTGAATGTCTGTTAAAATAAAAATATATAAGCCAGCATGAAATAAATGAAAACAGCGTGTATTCAGCCAAACTTGTTTGGATGTGGAAAACATAAAATGCAAAGAGGGACTGATAGAATTAATTGAGGGAGAAGAGTGTGAAGTGAGAAAGTCAGTTTTTTTCTAATTAGTCTAACATCAAGCTGAGCACCTAGTGTGGTATGGCTTGTACTCAACCTGAGGATGTTTCACAACAGATGTGGGAGTGGCTATCTGCCAAAATACCAGATGATGCACTGGAGACTCCACTGGTTCTTGATGCAAAGTGAAACTGTTCTAATTTTACTGCTATCGAGTAACATGTCAGTTATAACAGGCCAAACTGTTGGATTTGTTTTGTTCTCTTCAAAATATCAGACTGTTGTTGAAACAGTTAAGTTGCACCTTCATCTTCTTACTTGTTGTATTTTTAGTTCAGATAGAATATTGCTTAACTTTATTGCTTAACAACAACATTGTTGTTAGATGTACACATGCATTACAAAGACCATTACTGCCGTTGTCACTGGTTTGAAACAGCCACTGGTTTTATCACAGTGTAAGGAACCTGTCTCTTTCTTCCTTCAAACTGGTTTTATCAAAGTGTAAGGAACCTGTCTCTTTCTTCCTTCCTTCCCTACCTGTGCTGGTTTGCTCTGTTCCATGTCTGGTTCTGATTATCCTCCACACTGTTTGACCTCTCTGTCCGCCTGGGCTGTTTCTTCCCTGTGGTGTTCCTCCTCGGGGTTGTGACTTCTGGCCCTGACAACAGGCCTGGTGAAAGCCTCATTTTCGACCTCTGGCTCTCCCCTGAGGCCTTCTGGCTGAGCTTGGCCTTGGCCTTCTCCCTGCCTGTGCTGTGAGGAGTAAGAAATAATTTTTCCTTTATGTCTTCTATGGTTAGAGACACATTTTTGTCAATTGTTGCTTATCATTTGTTCATCCATCTGTCACTGTGTCACTCACTATTTCAAAAGATGATATTTGAAAAGTTAAAGTTTGGCAAATTTCCAGACAGATATAGTACACTTGTAGCTCCTACCAGAAAGCTCCCTTCGTATCCTTGTGCTCCACTGTTGGCGCAGCTGGAACAGGGGTGCTGTTGGATCCGCAGGGCTTGGTCTTTGCAGTTGTTCCCACTCCTGGTGCTTCACTCCCTGGAGAGAAAGTCTCAGGACCCTGGGTGATGGAGCCTGAGCAGCAGCACAATTTGACCAAATAAACATTTTGAATCAAACCAAAACATATTTATCTTTACTACAGTTACCCATCATTTCCACTGGGTCTGGCTGCATCGTGGCTCCGATCCTTCAGACTATGAGGATGAATGTAAACATAGCCACAAACCTTTGACTTAAGTAACTGTTAAATTAAATTTAACCCTTACCTGCAGTCTTTGTGTGTAGGCTACAGAAGAAACAAAGCAGGAAATAAGAGCAATAAACACAGTTAACATACAAATAAGAAAGCATTTAGCTATGAAGCTTACTTACTGTAGAGGCTCAAAAACTAAAACATCCTACATGAAAAATCTGCACCACAAGGAGTCGCTCTTCAGACAGACCCAGTGGGGGGTGAAGCCGCACAGAGGACAGATCAAAACCGCGTAGTAGACAGATCACAATACAGCCGCATCCAGTGGAACTGAGGGGTTACTGCCTATATATCTACCAACCTGTTCCATGATGCTCTTGCTGTGCGGGAACCAGCGGTTTAGTTTGAGCTTGGACTTTGTTCAGCCAGCTGTCCAGCTGCCACTTGTTGGTGGAGGGGGGCTCAGGCTAGTGGGAAAAAACAATATATGGACTATTAAATATTTCAGAAGTAACAACACGTGTCCGTTTTTCTAAGTATAGCTGTATTTATAGGGTCACTGTCATAACAAAACTAAATGCATTGCTAAACAATTCAAGGGAAGTACAGATGTGATTTCATCTGCTGTGTCAAAAACATTTTGCTGTGATATCATACATGATAAAATGTGGTTTTTGCAAAAGTAAAAAAAAAAAAAAATCTGTGAAATCTTGAAAGAAACTTGATTTATCCTCTTTCATACCATAACATATAACTGCATATGTGTTGCATGCACCACTGACATCATTGTCTTTTTGTTCCTCTGGATTTCTCTCTTTTTCTCAGTGTGTATAACTGCACAAGCCCATGAAACCAGGCAGCGTGGAGCCGTTAAAATAATGTGATAAATAATGTTATAATTCAGTTTTCTGCAGTTGGAGTTTTATGACTTTCAGAACACCACCCAGAGACTGTGTGAGGGGACCATTTAATGTACAGGCAGTCAGACTGAATAGTGGTGAATCAGGGAGAATAAAGAAGGCAGTAAACTTGCATCTGTCTCTTTAGGAAATGTAAACAAAATTAGAGACACTTGTCAGAGCTGAAGACACCCTTGACATTATCAATATTTTTTATTATTGCTTTTATTGTTCAACTGGGACTTCTGGACCAAAATCAAATGTTACTACCTCTGACTTCCATAAAACAAAACAAACAAACAACAACAACAAAGGGAAGCAGCAAAATGAGATTTCGATAATTGGGTTTAACAAAACCTCGGATGAATCCAATAATGATTTACTGTCAGGGTTATAAATATGCATGTGGAACAATAAAATTAAGGTTAATAATAAAATATTGTTCTTTTCTTCTTTCTCTAAATTTGCTTGTTATAAATACAGTTTCTGTTTTATGTCTGACCTATTTCATCCCAAATGTCATGTTATCCACTGTGTGTACACACCGTTTCAGAAAATACACATAAACACACGCACACATCAACTCACAGAAACACACTTGTCGTCCTACCTCTGGAGTGTTTGTGCGGGAGGCCTGGTTATACTCGCTGTCGCTGGAGCTGCTCTCTGATTCATCAGTGTCTGACTCAGAACTGCTCTCTGATTCACTGCTGCTCCCTGATGCACCGCTGAAAAACAAAACAAAAACAGACAAAAATGAATGAAGAAAAAACACAATCAACATGTCAGAATGTAACCAAGCAAAAATGGTTTCACTGTTAATGAGGTTACATCACTTAACCTCATTGCCAGTGCTATTATAAACAAACCAGCTTCTAGCTAAAAGAAGGTAAGTACAATATGCAAATCCAGAAACCAAGATCGCTTGTTGATCAGATGATGCTTTACATTATCTTCTAGAGCCCTGAAGTTCAAGCAAGAAGTAGGCGACCTCATAAACTATCAGAATACACAATTAACAGGTCTAAATTAGTCATATATAAAAAAACTGAATACCCATGCGTTGTTTGTCCAATGACAATATAATACACCTGTGTATAACCATTTCCAGCTGGCTGTCAGAATTAGAACATGGTGAACAAACTTTCCGCTCTTCTTAATTGAATAAATAGCAATGTCACAATGAAAATTTTACCTCAAGTCAATTACTTCTTTTCACTGAGTCATAAACCTTCTGGAGCCAAAGGAACCCAGAATCTAAATTCAGTCATTTTTCTATGGGAAAACCTCTCTGTCCACTCTAAACTCAACCTTTCCCACAAATGAGGGGAATGTGATTCATCCTTTCTCGAGCTGAATTTGGACAAGCATAAATTCATAAACATCTTAGAATGACCTTTCACATGTAATTATATCTACACAAAACCATAACTGCTTCAAAGCCCCTCTGATTCCCTCAAATTTGACAGCCTGCTGGATCATCCTCAAAATAAACAACTTACAAATGACGCTTGCATGTGCGGTAGGGATCATGTTTTCTTCACAGCTATTGAATGAGGCCCTGTCATTTTTACTGAATCATCTTGCCAGTGTAATTTCAAACAGTGTCGCCATTATTTTGAGCACTTGCTGGAACACGACACCCTTCCTTGCACCTACTGTCCTCTGGCTTTGGTTTCAAGATTGAAATCAGTCTAGTTTCATGAGCTGATGTGAATTAGCTGAAATGTTTGATTGTCATGCCCATAAAGTGGTAGAAATGTTGCTGGACTACTATTGTATATTGACTTTCAACTTCTAAACTATGTAATAATAATAATAATAATAATAATCACCTTTATTTGGCCAAGCATGCTACACACACAAGGAATTTGTTTCCGGTACAGAACCAAGGCAGCCATCTGCGGCGCTAACTCAACTGATGGCTCTAACCATCGGGGGCAACAGGGGGTTCAGTGTCTTGCCCAAGGACACTTCGACATGTGGACTGTAGGCACCATGATTTGAAAAATTTGTTGATGATACAGTCTTTTACAGGAGCCTGACATGATGCTTTAGTCAAAGATTTAGTTTTATGGCACCAGCAGTGTTTCCTTTATCTCAGTGTTGACAAAACAAAGGACATGACTATATTTTAGGAAATCTTCCCCTTGTCCTGCACTAACTATCATAGAACACTGATATTGCTCTGGTGGACAGTTACTGCATAAAAAACTTGAACAGTCACAGACAGCAAACTGAGATTTGATTAACATGTTGATATGGTTCATAGGAAAGCACAAAATCTATACCTTAATGTTTTAATGTTTGTGAGTCACAATGACTTTGTTTTATTGTAGTTTTAATGACTCTATTTTGTCTTTTTGCAGTGTAGTGTGGTACAAAAATCTTAGCTTGTCCAGCAAAACACCTTTTAAAAATCATGTTTGTATGAAGGCTGAGGCTTTTCTGGCTTGTCTAGTTGTTTAGTGTGTGACTTACTCCCATCTACTCATTGTTTTAGGGTTCCTGCCACAAGGCCTGAATTCTAAATTCTTGTCAAAGTTTTGACTCTTAAAACCTCTCAGCTAGTTCTTTGGGTTTTTGTTCTTATGCTGTGCCACTGATAATGTTACTTGTTTTTATTGTTGTTGTTTGTCTGTATTCACTTGGCTGCAAACCAGGTTGAGTGATTGATTGATTAAGTGATTGACTGGAGGGATGAACACCTTCTAAGAGATATTCCCTCAAAATCCCCCATTGGTGTTTATTTGGGTTGAGATCTGGTGACTGTAAAGCCCATAGCATATGAATCATGTCATATTTACACTCATCACACCATTCAGTGACCCCTCGTGCCCTATGAATGGGAGCAGTGTCATCCTGGAACAGACCACTCCCATCAGGATAGAAATGTTTCATCACAGGATAAAGGTGATCACTCAGAACAAGTTTGTATTGATTTGCAGTGACCCTTCTCTCTAAGGGGACAAGTAGATAGAAACCATGGCAGCAAATTGCCCCCCACAGCATAACAGAGCCACCGGATCCCTTGGCTGTAGGGATCAAGCATTCAGGTTTTGCCTTTAATTTGTCAGCCATCTGTATTTCTTGTGGTGAATTTCCCCAAGTGCTGTCACCAGATGTTCATCTCATTCTTCTTCATTCTTACATAGACTTCTAGTTGGCACAGTATACCTTGCTGCTCAGAAAATATCCTCTACACTCCAGTCCATTGGAAGAAAACTCACTTCTTCACTAGAAATTTCAAGACAACACAGTAATCTCATCTATGGACTTGATTTAGAGGAATAAGCACTGTTATCAAAAACATAAACAGCATAATTCACTTCAACAAACTCTAAGATGCATAAATCAGACTTTGATTTCCTATTATGTTGTGTCTTTATCTCCCTTTGCCACTTTAGAGAAAGAATAATAATTGGAAAAGCCCATCACCTTGATACTGATTCAACAAAAACAAAGCATCTGACAGAATATACAGCAATAAACTACTATTAATAAGCTCATAAATACAGCTTTTTAAACTGGTTCAATTGTATTCATCTTTTCTGGTGCTTTGGTTGGTCTCGTGTCCATCCATCTTTCCGCAGTGCTTTAAAATGACCTCCTAGAGGCAACACACCCTCTTGCCCCAACTTATAAATACACACAAATGCGCTCTTGTACACACAGAAACTGCAATTATGTGTAGTTCTCTCTTTGTGAGTGTGAGTGTGTACGTAATTTAAGTTCAAGGCTGCCATCACAGCAGGCACCAATCTGTGTGAGCAGTCAAGCAGGAAATCCATCAACTGTTCCTCAGGCAACACACACACACACACACACGGTGACAGATACTGTATGAATGCAGGCTCTGCCCTGTTTTCTCTTCTTCTATCATTACTCATCTCTTCTCTTCTCTTTGCCTCTCCCGCCCTTTCTGTCTTTCAATTTCAATTAAATTTTCACCTCAGTTTGCTCTATTAGCATCATAGTTAAGACAATATTGGCAAAGCAGTGAATTAAACTCTTTGCATGCAGTACATGATTGTGTCTGTTTGCTTCAATCTTCTTTATGCAGACCCTCCTCCATGCACTCACTGACAGTTTGGTGTTTGGAAAACATATTGCAGCAGTTTCAGAAACTGACTCGAACCAATAGAATGCTAGTTAGGTTTTGATTTTACAAAATGCAGGTAGCATTGTGTGGTGACAGTTCTGAATATGTCGGGGCTATTGAAGCTTCTATTAGATAACCTTGTTTCTGCACTGGGGAATGAATTGAACAAGTGCACACACACAAAAACCTGCAGTATATCACTCCATATGACTGTGAGCAGGGCAAAGAAATACAACAAGATGAGGCTATAAGAGCAACATCTACTAAATTAAGGAGTGATCCTACATCATATAAACGGTGTGAGTAATACTGTGTTAAATATGTAAAACACAAAATTATCATTGTATAAAGTAGAAATGGCATCTTTTGTCTTTTTACATGTCCAGCAAATAAACAATGACAATAGCATTTATTTTGAGAGTTTTTGTCTACCTGATGAATTCAGGTCCAGTGCCCACTCTGCTTTTAGCTCTGTTTTAGGTCTCCATCATTTTCCAAGCTTCTTTAGCAGCTAAATGCTACTACTATTCGCCAACACTGTCTGTGTGACATTTGCTGCTGGGCAGTTAGTGTGCTGAGGGGTTATCAGTCTTTTTGTTAAAAATAGCTGCCCACTGCCAAAAATGAGGTTAATGAGATTGGTGATGGTGAACCCAAACAGTTGCGGACTTTGAAGCAAAATGAGCTGAAATGTAGAGTTGGGCGATAAAGCTCAGTGTTACACTTGACACACTGTTGTGTAAAAATATCTATTAGTGCAGCTTTAAATTTACCAAACTGCCATGCACACATTGCTGAAAGAAAGAATTATAAAAATGTTGGTACTGGACTTTAGCATAATCCGATTTCCAAAACTCATCCAATATGGTTGTTTTCAAAAATTATATCTATTCATATTGTTATATAAGGTATTACAGCCTTGTGTCCATCAGCTGCTTGATGTGTCATCTGTGAACAAGTCGACTCTATGAGCCACTCTTTTACATGAATTATCACATCTGAGAGCCGGCTTGTTTTAGACAGGATAATGTTTTTGCCACACTACTGGACCGAGGGCACGCTATTCACAGATTGAATATTGTGTTGATATGAAGTGCAATACTGTGAGGTGCAACCAGTCACATGTGATGATGGACATGGATCATACAGTCAGGTTAAAAGGGAGGAGGAGCACAGAGACCAGTATGTGTTTAGGATACTTATTTATTTAACTTATGTTATTTGATATGAACTTAACAGCAGCATTAGGAAAGAGAATATGAAGGTTCTGAGAGATATATGTGCACACATACCAACCATAGGTCAAAACATTGCTGAATTATAAAAGCCAGACGTAGCACTAAATGAAGAGCTGTTTGGGAGCTGAAAGAGATGACTCTTTTTTGCTGAGCTGAGCTGAGCTGAACGATCAGCTCTGTAAGAAGAGCTGCAATTCCCATCACCATTCCTCTGCCTGATGAGAAATAAGATGGAGTCTGACAATCGATGCGTTAAATTCAGTCAGATGTGACATTTCTCGGATCAGGACCGTCAAACATTGTTTCAGTTCTTCACAGTGAACACTCTGTTCATGTATGGATTACTGGAAGACCCTGGTAGAGATGCCAGACAGCTGGTGATATTCTA